TGAAAGTGGGAGCAAAGGAGGGCGAGCACCCGGAGCAGGGCCTTCTCTGCGGTGGCACCCCACCCCTGGAATGCGCTCCCCAGAGAGGTCTGCCTGGTGCCTTCGTTATTTGCTTTTCGGCGCCAGGCCAAGACCTTTTTATTTAAACGATATTTTAATTGTTAATTTGTTGTTCTTATTTATTGGTTTTAAATTATGGCCGAGATACTCTGAATTTTTAATGTTATCCTATTCTATGTTTTATCTGCCTTGTAAGCCGCCCCAAGGCTTTCTGTGATGGGTGCAGCATAAAAATGTTATAACTAAAATAAAAAGAAATAAATACATAACCCTGCCTGTTTGTAATCAGTGCTTAATACTGGAAGATAGAATGCAACCTCAATTAACGGGAAGTGAATTCTGCAAGCTGGGCATGCAAGCAATCTTTCAGATTTTATTCTGATGCACCATATTCTGGGAGAGGAACAATGGAGAGCGAGAGAGCGAGCCGCCATCAGCCCCTGGAAACATTATTCAAGCCCCTCCCTCCCCCACTGCAAGCCCCACAAGGGTGGCCTGCACCACTTCAGAGACATTGGCAGACTTGTGGGAGAGAAACTCTAAACGAGCCTCAGAGGCTCTGGTCACCTGCATCCCACACCCCACGCCATGTCTGGTGCTTTTATTGTGCCCCTCCAGAGTCTCAGCACGGGCCCACTCTGCTTCTAACCAATTCTAGTTTGGTTCATAGAAACAAAGAAACAGAGCGAGTCAGAAGGGGTCTCCTGGGCCATCTAGCCTGACCTCCAGCACCAGCCGGCTCCACTCGCAACATGCCCACCATGTGCATGTCCATGTTCAAACCAAACCTGGAGCTGAGTCTCTATGGGGCCTCTCCTTCCCCAGGCACACACGTGCGTGTGCTCTCTCACAAACACGTGGACATGCACACATACAAATTTAGGAGTACCTCTCCCTGCCCAGACCTGCCTGGACACTCCACTCAGCCTCTGGGCCCTGCCTCTGGGCGCCAGTCCAAGAGGCCCAGGGGCTGGCAACTAGGAGGAGGGCCTTTTGGGGGTGGCCCCACACCTCTGGAAGAGCCTCCCTGCCACAGTCCTCCTGGTGCCAAATTGGCTATTTCCTCCTTGGTAATTCAGCGGCCTCATGCGATTGGCCAGGTCTTTTTAATTGTCTGTCATTGTCTGTTAATGTTCTTTTATGCTATTTTAAATTAATTTTCAATCCTTGACATTTTATCTATTGCATTTTATTGTTTTCATACTTTGCTGCAGACTGCCCTGATAGCTTTGACCAGGGGAGGCACAGAAATGGAATAAACATATAAATAAACAAAAGGAAGCTGACGAGCATTTCCTGTTTAGGCCAGCATTTGCAGTCCCAGGAGAGCAATTTTCATTTGTTTTTGTCACTAGTTATGCATCCTTACAGTTCTTTCATTCTGCATTTTTTTAACTGTCTGTGAGATGTCTTGAGGGCTCTTTCCTGAACTTGCTACACATACAAGGCTGATAAATCAGCTGCAGCAGTATCTGGGCAGAGAGGAGCTGGGAACAGTCATCCACAGACTGGGAACCTCTCGCCCGGGTTATTGCAACACCCTTACGTGGGACTTCCCTTGAAGATGGTCTGGGAACGTCAACTGGTCCAGAATAGGGCAGCTAGCCTGCTAGCAAGGGCTGGAAGATATGACTGTATCAAGCAAGTCCTCGACCATCTCTACTAGTAGCCCACTGAGGTCTGGGCCCAGTTCAAGGTGCAAATGTTGGTGTTTAAAGCCCTAACTGGCTTGGGGCCAGAGTAGCTAAAGGAGCACCTTGTCCCGTAAGAACCTACCCTGCTGGTCGACTGCAGGCTAAAGATGGGCCAGCAGTGTGACGCACGCCACCCTTGGTTGCATAGCCAGAAGTGTGGCTTCTAGATCGAGAGAGGGGCTACTGCCACTCTGTACGACTCTGGTGCGCCCGCAACTGGAGTATTGTGCTCAGTTCTGGGCCCCTCATTACAGGAAGGATATAGCCAGGCTGGAGTCCGTGCAGCGCAGGGCCACGAGGTTGGTGGCCAATTTGCAGGGGAAGCCGTATGAGGCGAGACTGAGGGAACTGGGTCTCTTCAGCCTGGAGAAGAGGAGACTCAGAGGGGATCTGTTGGCGACATGCAGGTACATGGGGGGAGGCACACAGAGGCGGGTCATGACCTTTTCCCCCCTGCAGTGGAGGGCAAGCTGCGTTCCAGTGGAGCAAAGCTCAGGGAACCAAGATTTAGGGTGGATGCCAGGAAGAACTTCCTGACAGTTAGGACCCCGAGGGCATGGAATGGGCTTCCACAGGAGGTGGTTGAAGCCCCAACAGTGAGGGTGTTCAAGGACTGCGAAGAGAAGACCGAGGGGGACATGATATCCCTCTGTAAGTACCTCAAAGGCTGTTACAAAGAGGAAGGCCAAGATCTCTTCTGGCTGATATCAGAGTGTAGAACACGGAATAATCAATTCAAATTGCAACAACCCAGATTCAGGCTGGACATCAGGAGAAGCTTCCTCACGGGCAGAGCAACACAGCAGTGGAACCAGCTGCCTGGAAAGGTGCTGGGCTTTCCCACACTGGAGACATTCAAAAAGAAACTGGGCAACCCTCTGAGTGGGATGGTGTGACTTGGTGTCCTGCGACAGCAGGGGGTTGGACTCGATGGCCTTTGTGGTCCCATCCAACTCTACTATTCTATGATAGGCTGGACACGCACATGGTAGGCATGTCATGAGTGGAGCCGGCTGGAGCCAGGGGTCAGACTAGATGCCCCAGGAGACCCCTTCTGACTCGCTCTGTTTCTATATTTCTACCTGGCCACTTAGATCTGCATCGGAGGCCCTTCTGAGGGAGCTGCCTTCTCAGAAATCAAGGAGGGTGGCAACAACAAGAAGGGCCTTTTCAGGAGTGTCACCCCAACTTTGAAACAAGCTCCCCAGAGAGGTTCACCTGGGGCCCTCTTTATACTCTTTTTGGGGCCAGGTAAAGAAGTCCTTTTCATTTTGCCAGTACTTTCTTTAATTAATTTATTCATTTAGAATATTTTTATCCTGTCCTACACAATCTGATTGTCCCAGGACACCTTACAATAAATTGGTAATAAATACACAACAATATAAAAATACAATAACAAAATAACAAGATGTGACTGAGAATATAATAAAACCAGATTAAAATTATTTAAACCTTAAAATGTTGGGCGAATAAAAAGGTTTTTACCTGGTGCCAAAAAGAATATAAAGTTGGCACCAGGAGAACCTCTCTGGGGAGCGCATTCCACAGCCAGGGTGCCACCGCAGAGAAGGCCCTCCTCCGGGTGGAGACCATCCTGACCTCCTTCAAGAAGAGTTTCCAGAGCAGGGCCTTTAATTGTTAATCTTTTTTTAATCGTATCTTAATAGAATGTGATATGCCTTTTATGAAACCATTAGTTCCATTAAGATACGGTGGGTGAATTTTTACTCTCTTACTGCTTTATTGTTATTTGATTTTTATGTTTCTATGTGGTTTTATTGCTGTAACCCACCCAGGGAGCTATATGGCTAATAGAGCGGGCTAGAAATCAAATAATAGACAGACAGACAGACCACCAACCAGAAAAACAGAATGGAATCCAAAGGGGCCACATGAATTATAGGAGTCAGACCTCAGCAGACCAGGAGGTGCCCACAGTTTTAATTCAGATAACAGAACTAGCCAGATGCATTTCGAACATGAGACCTTCGAGGGAAACGACCAAAGAACCTACGGACATCCACAACCTTCTAAATGCCTGAAGAGAGAAACTCTGGTTAGCCTATTGCCACATCAATGTTGAACACCAAGCTTTAGGGGACCAGAATACAGATGGCGCCCTGGCACAGAGCTGCCAAGGTCAGATGCAAAACGGATGGGGGCATGTCCACTAAGAATCTTTGGATGCTGCATCCCTTAAGGCCAGAACATACACTGCAAGGTTGGCGCTGAGATCTGTTGTCCACATGGAGGTTGGGTTTGCCATGTATGGGAAGGGTACCTTCTGGTAGGGAAAGTGAGCGACCTTTCCTTCCAAGGGAAGCACACCAGATCTGGCCCTTTTAGAAGAGCAGTTCCATTTACTTGATAAAAGAATGCCTGCTGGACCTTTACTTCTAATGGGGTTTAGGGTGCCTTACCCTGTCCCGCTGACTTTATGCATTTCATTTTGACTGAAGATTTGGTTTGCTGAATTTACTGTTCTTTCCCTCACCACGCAGCTTTTTTTTTTTTTAAGCTGCATACTATTTTGCAAAAACTGTAAAGTTGAAAAGAGGTCTATAAACAGAAGTAATAAGTGCATCATGAATGCATGAATGAATAAAACTGGCCGGGATCCAAAGAACTGCAAGGGAAGAAGAAAATGTTTTTGCAGGGCTCTGTGGCCTTCTGTGCTGGACCCAGTGGAAAATTTCTGGCAGAGCCGTGCGGGGAGGGTTGTGGGGCAGCAAGAGAAAGAGGGAGTGGGGAAGTTACAGGACACCGCATGCAAATTCTGGGTGGTGTTTTAAGACTGACTTTATATATGATTACCTGCATGCTGTATCTCATTTATTTTACTGACTTGCTGCCCTGAGACACGGTGAAGAAGGCCTTTCCCTGTCTCCTTGTGCCCAGCAGTGAGGAGCAGAGCACGTTGTGTGAATCGGCTCCGAACCTACTTGGGGGCTCGGAACATGTTGTGCAATTCTTTGATTCCTCAACCATTTCCAGAGCAGGGGTCCCTAAGATCTCTGGGGGTCCCATTTGAAATTTTGAAAAAGTTTGTGCTGGTCTCATGCACCAGCACAAAATGGCTGTGGGGGCAGCATAAAATGTTGGAGCGCCACTGCCTTTGTGTGTGTGTCTGTGCACATGTGTGTGCACCCTTATGACAGCAAATTCCAGCCCTTGAAGAACTGAACGAAAGCTGACACACGCTCTTTTTAGAGGAAAGGTGAGCATAAATGGTTAAGGACATACCTCTCCCTGGAAACTCTTCAGGAGTGGAGCTACCTGTTTGCGCAGGTCCTGGAAAAGAAAAGCAAACACACACATAAAAAAGAGGTCACGGGGAGGGGGGAGCAGTCCAAACTACAACTATGTGAATAATATTTGCAGTATTTCCATCCGTTACTCTCACGGCACTTCTTTTTTTCCACCAATTTTATCATGTTAGCTGAAGGCTGATTACATTTTTAATCGAAACATTGCTATCAGCAAGGGGTGTAGCAGAAATCCATTTTTAACTGGCTTATGAATCCAGCCCAATACACAATTACGATTGTCCCAGGGGAGGAGAATTAGTTAACAAAGGCCTCTAGTAATGTTGGATAATCAGTGAACTCCTTCAGTCTAACAACTCAACTGAAACAGTGCAATGAATGACTAATGGGATGTAAAACATGTGTAGCCACATGGAAAGAGATCAAGCCAGACCCCGCTGGAAGTGCGGCTTCCTCCCGAAGTGCCAGGAAGCGAGCGAGCATCCTTTCTTTGGATCAGCGGCCTTTCCTGCTCTATGGGATTTAAAGCAGCAGCCCCGCTTTGCACAGGGGCACGTGCACCGTTAGCAGCCCACCCGCTTCTGTCCCCGCACCGAACGATGGCGTCACCCCCATCTATTTGCTATTAGCAACAGGAGAATTTATGACCAACAGACAGTTCTCAAGGCAGACACAAAGCGAAACGCCATAAAGTCATCCAGTGGAATGGTGAGTGGCGCAGGAGGAATGGCTGCCACTGGCCCCTGGCGGGTTGCGACAAGCCGCCGTCCTTGATATGGATGGCTCTACGAGCCGCCCTGCTCTGCTTTCGCGCAGAAACCGTGATTGGTGGCTTCACAGGGGGTGCCGTGCAGTAGACAAACCTGCAGCACTGGCTTTTTTTTTTAAGGGGCTACACAAACCAGCAGCTTTGGGGATGGGGTAAACGTCTGGGAAGATTCACCCCTAAACATCCCACCTGTCTGGGAGCAGATTCTGGGTTGAGTGTGCAAAAAGTGTGCATGACAGTCGTGCTGAAGCAGAACCACGTGAGGAGAATGCTGTGGAAGCAGCTGCCATTAAGCACAGATATCGGCAGCTTGGGTCACCTTTACCAAGGTTCAACTTGGATGCCAGGAAGCACTTCCTGACAGTTGGGACCTCGAGGGTATGGAATGGGAGGTGGTTGAGGCCCCATCGGTGCGGGTGTTCAAGGACAGGCTAGGCATGCACATGGTGGGCATGTCATGAGTGGAGCCAGCTGGAGCCGGGGGTCAGACTGGATGCCCCCAGAGACCCCTTCTGACTCGCTCTGTTTCTATGTTCCTATGTTAAGGCTCATTTAAGAATGCACCTTGGTCCCAAGTAATTCAGCAGGCCCCACCAGGTAGCTGGTCCTGTAATCTGCGGGCCACCACTGGGACTGTTCTGTCCTCTGTGGCTACTAGCCTAACCAATGAGGGAACTAGAGGAGTTTTCCAAACTGGAACTGAATCCAGTTAGTGCCGATGGAAACTGGGGGCTCATTGTGTGAGGTGCCCGACTGAACGGTTTTGCTCCCATGCCAGGAGGGAGGCAGGCGGCTTCTCCCTGCAGACATTATGCCTAGTCAAAAGTTTTATTCCACTTGTAGGATATTTTTAGCCTGACTTTCCACTTGACGCAACAGGGGGCCCAAAGCAGTTCACAGCCATAATGCAGAGCAAAATAATTAAATAGCCAAAGCGTAGTAGCACTTTAATTGTACATAGAGTGCCGTGGCCACTTAAAAGGACAAAAGCAGGCCGCCGATACAATCCAGGCTTGTGCAAGTCACCACCCTCTTCATCACTTGTGCCAGCCCCGATTTGCCTCTGGGTGAGCAGAGAGAGACCACACTCTCTCTCTCTTACACACACACACATGCACGCACAGAGCCTGTGTACCACAAACAGCTAGCAGGAGTCTATATACAGGGGTACAGTGACCAACAAAACTGCTTGCAAAGTCTTCCAGCTGACATGAACCAGCTGATGCAAATGCAAAGGCTAACTTGTCCCAGGCAGAGGGAAAGTAAAAAGCCCAGCAGGCCTGGCCTGCAAATCCACTGAGGCCAATCTCTGGCCAGAGGCCCCCAGGGGCTCATGAGCTGAGCCAGGGATGCAAGGGAGCGCCCTCCCCTGCGGCTGGGCTCCTTGTTGGCTGCCTCTGGACACAGCAGCTTTGATGGGCCATCGTGGCCAGCAGCCGCGGCTAACCCAGTCCTCCGCTGGACAAGCCAGCCCTCCTGGGGTTGGACCACAGCACAAGCACTCAGGCCCGCGTGGGCCCATCCCAGGCCCTTCCAGAGTCCCAGGCGGAAGGTGGCGCCAGGTGGGTCGGGGCCCGCCGAGTCTTTCAGCTGCCTGTCTGCTACACCTGCACAGAAGCATCCCTCCCTACCCAGTGGTAGTGCCAAGGCAGAAGGCTTCCCACTCCTCCCGCAGCTTTATTTATCCTTGTAATCTGAATTGGATGCTTAGGATGGCAACCCCGAGAACGGCCAGCACCGGCTTTTTCTCAGTGATCTCCAAAGCTAAGGCTGTTCCGGTCTGCATTAGACGTGCGTCAGTGATGCTGCGGCCTCGGACGCTCTGAACCATCCCTGGGGCCCAGACTGAGGGAGCGTGTGCATGGCGCACGTTCCAGGCAGGCCAACAGCCTGTTCTTGTGGCCTTCCCACGCTGACTTACTCTGGCCAAGCAGAAGAGCTGCACCACCTGATGAAGCCTTGCTCCAGACAAAGGCCAGGTGGTGTGGGTGGCATGGCAGCCATGCTGAAATCAAGTCAGCCTGCTCGGTGCCTGGACAGGAGGTCACATCAGAACACTGCGCACACCAACTTTCCACAGGAAAAACGACGGGGTGTGCAGTGCAGCAGACCGTCATGTGAATCGGGGCCACCCTAGGAACTGGAGGAAGGGAAGGCAAAGCCAAGCCTGTCCTTGCACTCCACAGCAAGCTCCCGTCGAGCTCCTCTCTGTAGCTCTGAACACTCAGAGAAACAAGCCACTGACATTTCTCAAGGACTGACATGCAAATTCAGCCCACAACTAATTCAGCAGCGCTTCACCGTTGATCAGCACCCCCCTCTTGACACGGCACCGACCTGGCTGAGAAGACCACACGCTCTGCCCCACTCACACAGCGGGGTCACTAGACAGAGCCCCAGCGCTCATGCGGTATTACATGCTGCATTTATGTGCCCCCTTTCCTCCCCTTGCAAGGAACCCAAGAAGGCTGGCAAAGTAAAGTGCTCTTTTTCTCCGTCTATCCTCACAACAGCAATCCTGTGGGGGAGGTTAGTCTGCGAGTCGGTGACCGGTCCCGAGTCTTCTGGCGACTTCCCTGGCTGAGTGGGGACTTGAACACAGAACCCCCGGGGTCCACAGGCCCACATGATAACCAGCAAGCACCAGGCTCCCTCAAAGAGAACTGCTCATGCAGCTGGCCCAGAACTGCCTGCTCTGATTGACAGGGGCTGTTACCTAAGGCTTGAGGCTCACCTGCAGCCTGAACCTCTTAACTGGGGACAGTGCCTAGGATCTTCTTGCAAAGAAACCCTAACCCCAACCCCTGTCTAAAATGATGGGCCACTGGCTGCACACTCATTCCAGTGACAGAATCTTGGCTACAGAAAGAGAAAACTCGCCTCTCTCGAAGCATCACTGTTTCCCTCAATGCCGAATCGTTGCACTTCTCCAAGAGAAAAGCCCGTTCTTCAGGGTAGAAGCAGTCCTCATTAAAAAAATATTTCTTCGCAAGGGATGATGGGGTAGTACATTGAGGAGGAGGAGGCGGCAGCAGCGGCGGAAGAGGAGGAAGGTTCTGACAGCAGCTTTTCAGACATTTAATGGACAGATTCTCACATGGTTGGTCAGGGGAGACTTGGCGTTTGTCAAGCAACCGTGTTACCTGCCCTCCATCCCTCTATGCTCCTGGAAGGAGGGCAGCCCCACGTCACACCAGCCTCACCACACCTGCCACACTAATACACACGAAGGAACAGCGTGCGCAAGGGAGGGGGAAGGAATGCAGCCCATGCGACAAGCGACAGAATCCCAAAAGCATCTTCACGGCCCCAAAAGAACAGTCCATCTCAGAAGGGACTGCAGAAGAAGGCCAAGGGAAGCAACCGCTCTCCCCACATCTGGAGGAGAACTATGAGAAGCGCTTGCCCTTTGACTCAAAGCTGGGAACCTGTGGCAACCATGCCTTCCGATTCTGCAGGCAAAGGACAGCGCTACGCCCAGCTTGCTCTTCCTGACACCTTGCCAAAGAAGCGGTAAAATAAGTTGCAACAACCCTCCGAATGTACAGGAAGAGGTTTTGCTTTCAAACGCCAGACCCAACTTAAATGAGCTGCCAGAGGAGAGTCGTTCTTGGAGTGCTTCGGTCTTTACACGCTGGCCGTGCGCTTGCAGGGACACTGAGATACAGGACCAACTATGAGGAGAGAGTGCAATGTCCAAGGAATCCAATTCCTTACACCCGATTCTGTGAAAAAAGTATTTGAGCACAGACTGGCCATGTGAACTTAATGTCTTTTTGCTGTATTTGCATAGCCAGGCGTGGGGCAGGAGACCCATCTCTCTTCAGTCAGCCAACGCGGAGCACCTTTTGACTCACAAAAGGTCTTGCTCTCTTCCGGGACTGTCCCCTCCTAGCACAGACAGGCAAGCAGCTTGTCTCCTAGAATTCTCCAGCTATTTGCAGCCCTGGCTTGGCAAAATGACCCTCTGGGGATCCTACAACCTAGAGTTCTCATCCGTAAAGTATTCTATCTGTAAGCAAAATAATTTTGGAAGGAAAACCTCCTGGGTTCCCTGATGCTGACTCGCTCTCTGTCTCTCTCTCTGTCGCCCCCCCCCCCCGCCTCCTGCACACTGGCTGGAGAGAGTCAGAGTATGGGGGGGGGGCAGCAGCCCAGTCGCATCAGCGTCAGTGACATCATTAGTTTGGCTGTCGCATCCAATTGTGGAGCCAGCTCATCACACGGAAGGGGCGCTCCAGCTCTCGACCGTCTAC